CCAGCTGGCATCACACTATAAAAATGTTACCCCTCTTATGTATAGCTCCTGATACTCCTGCATCTTTATCTTTTGGATTTCTTCTTCCAGCACTTCTTTATCTGTATCCTTGACCAGTCCATAAGCAAGTTCTCCACCAGCATGAGGTGGTTTGCTGCTCTCAGTCTCCTCACCCTCCTTAAGCTCATCATCCTCTTCCTCTTCCTCAAGGAGGGAATCAGTGGATGGTGAAGAGGATCTGAGCACATGCAATGTGAAAACAGATACAGCAGAGCATTATCCACTGACCACACTCACACCAACACACACACAAAACTCTTAGTTCATGGGGGGATTATAATGCAATAAAAGTAGCAATCAACAAATATAATTGTCTTCTTTAATGAGATCACAGCATGCAAACAGTAATAGCATGCTTACAACAGTCTGAGGCCTCTCTAAGTCTCAAAGCTTTTTGTTTTATCAAAACAAGAGGTGGCAACTGGTGTTGCTGGGCCTCAAGGCAAAAGGTACTGCAGCTCAATACAACATGTCAAAACACTGTCACAAAACTCTCCAAATGGTCCCAAGCACAGCTCAGATCAACTCAAAATCCTTAACACACACAATACACGACTCAAAGCTTCATGCTCTAAGCAGAAACCAATCACCAACACATCCATAAGTGTCAAAGAGCACAGATCTCTGTTCACAAGCTTCCAAACTGATTATAGATCCACAGGATTCAAACCTATGTGATCCAGAGACACAAAACACAATAAAACACCATCTGACAGACCAAAGGGTTTGAACCTCTGCCACCTGTAGTGCCATGCATCACAAATACCTCAAAAACTCAAGATGATGCCCTTCAGACACTGCTCTCTTATTCTCAGATTAGAGCACAATCTAAAACCTCTTATCAAACTGGGCTCAAGTCCTTCATGAGCTTTGATGCCTCGCTTAGTTCTCACAGCACTCTTAATGATATCAATAATCAGTTTATTCTCTCACCCAGAGTTACTAACACAAACCCAGAGCTAGAGTGCAAGACTTTCTATGCTCAATACACTGCAACTGTGGGGGGTCAGAAACTTCTTCCTCCAGTCATACAATACTGTATTTAAATACTCTACTATGGTACTTACTAATACACTCCTACTATGGTATCCTCAAAGCACAGGACTCCATGTCAGATCCTGTGGGTATTATTCACATGCATATCACAGTCATCACACTTATTCTCTTCCAAGTGATGACTGTGCCTGCTGTTCCTTCACTAGCTGACATTGGCTAGCTGGCCTTGCCAGGTCTGCTTGCTTTCTTCTTTCCCCAGTGACATCTCTGACAGTGGTAAACTGTCCCAGACCTCTGGAGTTATTTCTCATGCCAGGAGCCAGCCACAATGGCTATGTTCTGCTTCCCTGTGTCCAATCAGTCATTCCATCTGACTCACTAAAGGTGCCATTTTTTGGTATAATGCAGAGTCCCTTGCTGTGTTATGCACACTAAGGCACCATATGTATGCACATGCAAGGCTCAGGGCAGTATCCATACTATTCATTCCTGGAGTAATATTCCTCTACTTATTAGCTTGTTGTCATTAGTCTATTTCTCTGTTCAGTACCCATTTACTCAGATACCTTTCTTTGGATCTCAGTTCTCTGTTCTAAGATATATCTCATCAGTGCATCAATGGCTGTGCATCTTTGGTCAATGTGATCAGACTTACTGATCATATTTCTATCATAATCTTTTTATTTTTAGCATGCCCTCTCATAATAGTATTGGCACATTTGGGGCCAAGTGCTGGGACCTCACATGCAGCCTAATCTCTCTGGTATTAGTCTGTTACTAGGCCATGCACTCTGCTTATTGTTACTTCAGTTTATCATTATGATAGCTAGGTTTCTGTGCACTCTAGTCCTATTTTCTGTTACATGCTTACTGGTCTGGAATGCAGTCCATGTATTCACAATTTTTGCAATTTTACATGCCTGAACATGGAGAGAGCATGTCAGTGGATCATAGAAATTCTCCTTGTCCCCTGTTGGTCATATTGTCTTTATTGATCCACTGCTGTGGCTGGATGCTGGGCTCAGCAATGGGGCTTGAAAAGTTTGAGGCATCAAGATAGGTGGCAGTGGATTGACTCCTGATATTGGAGTCATACCAGTTTCCTCCCACTGCTTGGGCCACTGCCACTCACTCATGATAGAGGCAGATGTTTCAGCAGTATCCATTGTCAAGGAGCTGCCCAATCACTCAGCTCCTAAGGAACCTTTGGAGAGCATGGGTGGAGATGTGGGTATTGTTAGGTACTCATAGTCTATAGTGTCTGAGGACAGACTTGTCATCCTCAAAAGTAGTATTGACACTAGGAATTCATTGGAGAGAGGGATACTAGAGGATTGGAGAGCATGGGGCAGTTCTTAGGATATTGTCCTGAGTTGGAGAAGTGACCTGATCACCTCTGGCTTAGGCCTCATCTGCTGTGAGGACTTCTGCATTTTCTCAGTGCTCTGGGGCCCAGGGGTCAGACTTGATTGTACTAGGCTCTCTGAATATCAGAGTTGAGAGGGAGCAGTCTGCTTGTACTGGTGCAAGTACTGATGTGACTTCTGGTCAGAGTCTGTACCAGTTGGAGACATTGGCCCTCTCCAATCAGACTCTTTCAACATTCCACTGCTGCTCCTGATGCTGCCAATCATACTCAGCAGCCTTATTTGCCTCCCTCCTTCTATTAATGATGTGCTCCTTGAGCTCACTTCAGGCCAGCTGCAGAGCATTTTGCTATCTTTGCTCCTCCTGCCAGAGGGCTTCATCATAGTTGAATAGGACATTGAGGTCCCATGTGGGGAATAGGCAGTGGATGATCTCATTTTGGTTTTCTCAGATTTGTCACTCATTGTCAAGCCTGTCTGAGAGTGCCCTTCCCATTCTGGCACTGGTTCCAGCAGAGTGATGGGGTGAGATGCTGCAAGACTGGCTTCTAGATGATGTTTGAGGGGGTCTTGAAGCCATCCAAGCAGCATCAAGAGAATCTCTGGCATGGTCAGCAATCCCATGGATTCAAAAGGCACTGGAAGGATTGAAGGAGGGAGACTGCTGAAAGAAATTCTCCAGGATATTCTTGTCTTCATGATCAGAGATGGAGGTCAGGACCCATGAGTTCCTGAATCCTGCGATGCAAGGGTCACTACTTCTGCTGTTGGGTCATTGAGGAGGGTATCTATGTCTTTCTTCTTCTTGAACATCCTCTTGATATGGGCTGCTAGGCCTGGCTTCAGGTAGAGGGCTTGTCAGAGGCTGGTGGAATGTTCATCAGGATTCAGGGATGTCATGTAGGGAAAGGTCTGGGGTTACATTATATAGCATATGTCAGATGTGTTGAAACTCATTGTAATGCCTGATAGCTCAAGTGGTAATTGAATGGCATCCCTAGCACAGCTGGATGATCACTAACAATTCCAACAATATTCTGATGATGGATGCAAGAAGTTCGAAGAACTCTCAGTCAAAGTTCAGGTCTGATGTGTTGATAGAGGGCATTTGATTTCCTCCACACTATAGTGTGTGAGGAAAGGGAAAAGGAAGCTTCAAGCTAATTGTTAGATCCAAGCATTACATGAACAGAAACACATGATAAACAGAAGTCCTCTTGCACTTCAGGAGATTGACTAAGTTTACTGATGCATATTCTGATCAATGTGTTACAAAGCCTTAAAATTGGCTCAAGTATAGAATGGTGTGAAGATAAACTTTAGCTTGAAGCTGGGGTTTCCCAGCAAGAGTGAGCCTCTTTAAATACTGTACAAGTGTCAACTATTAATACTACTGCCTATTGTGTGTTGTCATATCCTTTGTGCCCATTGTCCTTGGGTGTTGCTACTATACATAAAAGATCAATTGTGCATTATCAGGCAACACTGTTGTGTCAAAAGACAATGACAGACTTGGCTAGTTGTGATGACTAAGCCTTGTCTCATAGTCTTAAGCACTCCCTTTAAGCACCCTGACTAAGCATAAATAGAGGTTAATTGTAAGAAAAGAAATAGAATAAAGGAAAAATTGTAACATTTACTCAGACAAAGCTGTCTGTGTTACTGAACACAACAAAACTTATCTCAAATGGTCTGCCTGGTGCAGTTTCTGAACTGATACAATGCACCTGATTGTGACTTATACACAAAACTGACTGTTCTGAACTGTCTTGGGTCTGTTCTGATAGTCTGATATCACTTTTGGTTGCTTTCTGAGGGTTCTTGCACAAAACAAAGTGACCTGATCACCACAATGCTATTCAGATTGAGTCTATGACTTGAAGCTCTTAACCAAACACAACTCATACTATTCACCTAGTAGTGCTTTGAGAGAGGGTCAGAAACCTGCCCTCCCTCTATACATGATCTAGTATTTATACTTCTTAGCTACCTATAGCTGACTAATATAATCAATTACTGACTAATATGCTTGCTGATGCAACCAGGAAGGCTAAACTCATTTCCTGACAGATATGAGCTCATACATGGCTACCTGGTCAGCCAATCAGGCTGGACCCTGGTTCTTGTCATCATGCTGATCATGCAGATCTCTGTTCTCAGACCTGGAAACCATGTGTGTTGCACAGAGAGGCCCACTAATGCCCTAGTCTCTGCTAGACATAGAGATGCTGCACTCGAGGGAACTATGCTCTTTCCAGGTAATCACTTGCTTAGTGCATCTTACTATGGTTGGTACAGAGTAGCTAACTGGGTAAAAAGTGATAAATATATCCTCTTTTCTATCTGGTATGGTTGCCTGGCACATTATCCCCCCCCCCCCCCCCCAACTAAGATACCAACTGTCCCTAGTCAGCCATCAGCAACAGGTTGACAGCATGCCCCCCCTTGCTTGTAAATATTGCATTCACCGGATCCACCCACATATCGACAACGATCCCTTTCCTCTCCATGACGTCATGCATCATCAATTGCAATATCTACTCCGGGTCGACTCATACATGATATATAGCAAGTACACTCGATCTCCCCGTGGTCCGACTCGCTTCTTATCCCCCACCTCTCTCCCTTGGCCCATGCTTGTCGGACATGGTGAATATGAATGAATTTTTGACATCAACCTGGAGGACAGTGTGTGGATTGCTGGCACAGGTTTCTCCGTTAAATGACACTTCTCTCTTCCTGTTTATCCCCCCCCCCCCTCGCCGCCGCTGGGGGGTGTCAGACCGACATCCTGTTCTCGACGCGGCTAGGCAATATAGGTTAAAACCGCGCGTCTTGTTCAGAGTTCACTGGGGTTCGTTCTCCTCCCTCCCTCCCCCAACGCTGTATATATCAAGCTTCAGGCTTTCAATGTGGATGGCTGTACATAATACCAAGTGGAGCCGACGGGTAGTAGCAATATTACTATTACTATTACTATTAGGCAGTGCCATCGGTTAACACATCTGAATTTGTCAACCGAGATTTCGCCAAGCGACCGACCACGTGAGAACGGTTTCTTTCTTTCTTTCCAGTTCACCGTCGTCGGCGACGATAGCGCACCGCCCCCCCCCCCCCCCCCCCCCCCCCCCACTCCCCTTTCTCTCAGAATAATGCAGTGGCTAACGGGGCTTAAAATAATAATAACAAAAGTCGGGAAACGTGCCTCGATGGGCCACCAACAGCAGGCTATTAATAAGCGGCTGGAAGCAGTGCCGCACGCAGCAGCTCTTTTATCGAGATTGGGTGGTGGGCCCCTTCTCCCACCTTCTTTTCCCTCTCTTCCCCTCTTCACTCTTTTCCCCACTAAGCACCAACTACCAACTACCACGATGACTGATATCCACGACCAAGCAACGCTCGCGGCCGCCATCGCCAACTTCAAGCCCACACCCCGCGAGGTCATCAGCGGGATCGCACCGCATGTGTTCGAGGATCGGCGGTACCTCCAGCGGAGGCGGAGCAGCAGGCGCAATGGGAGCCCGGGGAGGCGGCAGAGGGGCCGCCAGGGGGCTAAGCGGTCGCCGTTGAGGGTGTCGGCTGTTATCAATCTGGATGACCCAGGTGCGTTTCTTTTTTTTTTTTTACTTACTAAGGTGGTGGTGGTGGTGGTGGTGGCGAGGGAGTCGTTATCGCTGACTTTACTTTATAGATGAGACGTGCGCGCAAGAGACGGTGGGGCAGGTGTCCTCTAATAATGCGGCGGACGCTGCGCGCAATATCAACCAGTCGAGGAGGCGGACGTTCCTCAGTATGCAAGTGTCGTTGGTGATATTGAAGTGCGTGCCGCTGCTAGTCATTGGCTTGGTCGCTGACGGGGCATTGCAGGACTCTCACTTCTAAATTAAAGTGATTTGCCGTTCCTTCTCTTCCATTCTTCGTTCAATGTCGCTCATCCCATCTCCTCCAGGACGCGACACCATTAGGGATTTCACCCACATTCTTTCATTCAGGACTCGGGAGTTATCTTATTATATCCTTTTTGTTTTTTTGTTTTTGTTGTTTTCCTTCTCGCTAACATAAAACCGGAATCGCCTCTCCCTTTCCCTTTCACTCTTACTGCATACCCAAGGCTTGCCATAGATAGACGCAAATTCATCATTCAAATGTACTCCAATCATGTATCGCTGTATACCCATCCAAACCCCGCATGCGACGTCGGGAAGAAAAAGAAGAATTATTATGACGAAAGGATGAGAAAGAATCAGATTCCGCGATTTCCGCGCTCATGATAAGGGAAAAAAGAATCATCGTGAGAGCACTGTCGTAAAAAAAGGTCTTAAGAAGCATAGTCTGCCCCTATAACCGAATGAAAGGAGTGAAGAACGGGTAGGGTTCACCCATCTTGAAGAACCCGTTTCCGTTAGTCTTTAACTCTCGAGCGCGTAAGGAATGATTCTGGAGCATGTGTATCCCCGCAGATACCTGGAACGAAGGAAAAACGGATGATGCCGCCAATGTCCTTATCTGTAAAGCACCAAGAGGCGCATTCTTTCCGCCATCTCGATATCGGGCTGGTATTTTTAGGAAACATGCAACCGTAATGCTTCTGGGCTCAAAGGAAGGCAGCCAGTCAGGGATTGGACAGAGTCTAATAAGACTCTGGCGAAGACTTTTCGTTCTCGTACGGTCTCTGCGAATAGCCAGCCTTTCTCTTTGTTCGTTTCGATAAAAAAAAAACCACAAATCCGTTGACCGGACGTTTTTGAGTTCGGGGCCGTTTTTCATTTTTCATACGTTGTTGTGCCTATATCGAAGTTCGTCAACTTTTCGGAGCGAAAACGTCAATTTGTGAGTTTTACGTACGTGACCTCTTTTTTGAGAGAGCGGAAAGTCGCATTGCCCGACGGGGTTGTGGAAAAAAGTCAAAATCAAATTCCGAGTCATTAAGTGATTCACCGATACGAGTCTAATGACGTCACGCGTCACTTGGAGTTCATCATGATGATAAGTTTCAGTTGCATGATTTAAGAGGGCGAATGATAACTATGACATGTATCCCAACCTGACAGGCGCATATATGAGGGCATGCCCTTCTTTCCCCAGGTGGAAAAGCGGTGGGAGTCTGCGGCGCAGCAAACCGATTCGAGGGTGGTGGTCGGTACCTGGTGTGACCGACCCGCGCTAAGATATCTTGGGTAACGGGCTGTAACGGAGACAATTTTGGGCCGTGAGACGCTTGAGTCTGGTTGCCGTTGTACGGGTTGAAAGATCATATCTATCAAACCAAGCGTGATGGCCAGACGGCGTATATTTGCCGACGGTTTAGGGGTGGCAAGATAAGCCAGATTTGGAGAAGCCCATCATCGCAAGCTTCTATCCTTGGAAGCGCATACAGTCACGTGGACTGCGTTCTCGCCGCCTTGGCCCGCTGATCTTGGTTCTTGACCAGATCGACACTTCCAGATGGGTTTAAAGAAAACAAGTGACGCACCGAATCATTTCCCTGTCGACAATCCGTCCCTCAGAAAGCGACCCAAACTCAGACAAGTACTTGAAAATGGCCTTCAGGTCCTCGTCCAGTTCCTTGTCGATCTGGGCAGTATATACATCCTCAGCTCGCGTCACGGCCGTATCTGTGCAGACAACGCGCACTTTCGGAACACTATATTGATACAGCAAAGGCTCTCTGGCCAATCTCAGCTCTTCTCGACATTAGGAACAGCAGCAAGACTAGCAGGATACACGGATCGCTTACGTTGGTCAGAGTTGGCAGTATGGGCCACAAGAGAAGATGATAAACCAGCGTTGTTTGCCCGTTCGTCCTGATTCAGTATTCTGTGACAAGTGCCTGGCATGCACTCATGCTTGCTTCAGCTTCATGCTTATCCTGTTCTATAGATCCACCGAGAAATATGTATATATATATGACTCACTTGCGTCTTAATAAGCACGAGTTTGTTGGACACTTTGAAATAATCCAGACTTTGGCAGCGACGTTTCCGTTTCCATTCTGACTTGGCTGCGACTTTTCTCAGAGAAGAGAACTTGTAGTGCTCACTGCTACAGAACTGTGCACCCCAAAGACGTTACCTGCATGGCGGAGCATCGACGGACTCTCCTGAGCTTTATCAGATGAATACAAATGACCCATCGATGCTCTGAACTATATGGATAACCCCCCCGCAAACGTCCGTGCCACGACCGGTCCGACCAAAAGAAGTCAAACGAGAAATCACCAACGGCCCTAAGCGCAACTCCCATTATCACTCTGACGGTGCCTCCGCCATCAGAGGACCCCAACCAAGTTACATTGGGTCATACAACGGGGTGGACAGCCCCTCCCCTACGATCTTATCTTAGTACCCCCCCGGTGAGTAGAAGCCCCGCCGTCGACCTCATCCCCTGATCGCTCGCTCGCTCACCTACCCAGGCTGGGCCCGAATTTGGCGAAACGAATTGGACCCTGTGCACACCCATTCGGGGGAAAAAAAAAAAGGCAGCGTTTCAGGATCGATCGACTTGCAGCTCGCAGGAACGAAGATGGATCTATGGGAGCCACCATCGAGGCTGAAGGTGTTTGGTGGGGTATGGGTATGGGTATGGGTAGGTACAACCTTTGAAGACACGATGACGCGCTCGCTGCGACTGGGTGGTGCGAGAGGGACAGTCACTTATGTGAGTACGAGTATACCAAACGCCCTTTCGTCATCTTACTGTTCGTCGTAGGATTGAGAAATGGTAGTCCGTTGCGAGGTTGGTGCATGCTGCGCCCCACGGGATACAGAATTGTTTCTTCGAGGTCCACACAGACAGTCAGACAGTCTGCTCGGCTTTCATCAATGGGCCCCCCCAGGACGGGTAACAACTCGACTCGTGGCCCGGTTGGAGGACAAGTATCAGCAGCGGCTATACGTCTCCCAGACGCCGGAGCTCGTCATTGGTTCGATTTGCACGACAATGGGCGCTTGAAGACAATAGAGAGCCTGGCATGTTCTTGAAGACGGCGTTCAGCGGAGGTTGGGATCCTTGGGGAAAGAAGCGTTACGGGATTTGGTTGTCGGAGGGACGGCTGGGCTTGCTCGCCGCTGGTTTTTTGAAGTTTGCTTACCGGAGGAGTACTTGAAGAGGTTTGTAATAGTACTAGTATCCTCGTGGCGTTTATCGCTTTTGTGGATCTCAATCCAGGAACGTGCACGAGGCCAATTTCTCGCTACACCAGACGAGGATCTGCGGCGCAGTAAACGTCGATCCGAGGGTGGTGACTACCAATATCATAGTGCCAGTGGTCGGTACCGGGTACCTAGGAATTGTCCGCTTAGGTCCCACCCCCCCCTCTTCCTCGTGTAATATGGGAACCTGGAGACTGGGTCGTTAGACGCTCGAAGTTGGCTGGCGATGAATGCTGAATGCTGAATGCTTAAGAAAAAAAAAAACTAGGATTAAATACAGAAGGCGTGAGTGCACAGTTCACAGTGGATGGAAAAGACATATGGGCAGACCAGTGCACTGTAGAGGATCCATGGAACCATCGATGCCGCCGTTGGGCATGAGCATGATTCTTCCGCGGCGGAATAGGTGCTCTTCCCCACTCCCTCAGAGTCACCATGCAGCTTCAATATATCTACGACACACACCCAATCTCTATATCAGCAAAGTCGCTCTCAGGCAAAGTATCTCTCAATTCCATAGGATGTGTGGCCGCAGAGGGGTTGTCCTTTGCTACTAATAGCAGATCTGATACCCTTCACAAAGACTCCCAATTCCCCCCCCCCCTCCGGGGTTCTCGAGCGACATCATAACAAGGACGTTGTTGAAATACGTGCGTCGTATAACACAACTTCGTCAGCCGAAAAAAGATTATTGGAAACCTCTCAGCCCTCAGGGACGAGAGCGAGGTAGGCGAAATGTATAATTTCGTCTTCGTCTTCGGTGGCAGCTCGAGAGCGGAATAGGATGGAGTGGTGGGGGGGAAGAACGATCGCTCGCTCGCTGAGCTTCTCTCGAGGGTCTAGGAGATTCCGTTCTGAGCGGTTTGTCTTCCCCTGTACGCACGACAGTGAACCCCGCCCGTTTGGTCCGACATTACCATCAGCGAGGGCGAGGGGGGTTCCGAATCTCAATCTCTCGGCGACCTGCTTCATCAGATTAAACAGGCATGGCTGCGGCAATAAGCGTGTGCCCCTGCGGGGGTTTTTCAGTAAGAATTTTTTTTTTTCCAGCAATAACCACTGGACAAGAGGTCGTCGCCTTGCAGAGCATGACCACCTGAGAGATAAGAGAGTTTACAGAATCAATTGCGAGCCAGGTACGAGGTCCATGGGATGGGGCCTACCCATATGTCTGTGGTGGCAGCTAGAAGTCGCAACGCTGACAAGCAAGGGTTGAATACATGGCAGAGACTACTACCGAATCTCACATTGAAGGGGGGGGAGGGGAGTCTATCCTTGCTGAGCGTTGCCGCGAGACAAAGTCCTCCAATCCAACTTCTACTAGCGGGTAGTGAGCCCAGGAAGCGAGCGAAAACTGGCACTACCACCACGTGGAAACTGACAGAAAGAAAGTCTACTCCAAAACGCTCGGGGGAAACGATAATCTTTGGTTGATGCTGAAAATTCCCAGCAGGATCGTAGATGGGATTGCGTTGAATGACTGAACGGAGCGCGGTATGCCAAACAAAGCCATGCACTGATTTGAGGTTTATGCTGCTCGTCTATTCTGAGTCCGTACATCATCTCATCCCATCATCTGTCGAGCGGGTAGTGGAATCAAGAAAGGCTTCGTGCAGCTACTTCCCTTCGCCATCCTCATCCTCTACGCGAATAATAAACAACACAGGTTCTTCAGATCTTTCCGGAGAGGGGGGACCAAATCTCGAATCTCTGCGAGACTTGGTCTCATGAGATATACGATACGGGCATGCTACTGTAGCTTTCCAGGAATGCCTCGGGCCAGCACTCGCCAGGAATGATCACTATATATAGGGAACGATGAGATTTGCAGTATCATCCTCGGTCAACATAACCCACGTAGGAACCAGGGCTTGTACGTCTTTGCAGCTGGAAATGGGGGGTCAGAGACCTTGTTGTCCCAGCACAGAAAAACTTACCCTACAAAGGATTTGCGTGCATGTAAAGAGCCCTCTAGACGGCGACTGGGTGCGCTCTGGGTTGGGTTGGTACGTTTGCTGGTTTTTTGTCGATGCTGGGTCCATATAGCGCAGGGCAAGATCAGACATCGTGCCGAATTCCGGCGCCGGCTAATTTCCAAGTACCCCTCTATTATACAGCGGCAAACAAATGGGCTTCCGAGATCACCGAAATGGCCATTAAACCAAAGTGGTTCGTGACAGTCCCCACGCAGTCATAATCACAAACGAAGGAACATAAGAAAACGAGAACATGGTAGGTTATATATATAAGGTTTACTGATTCGCGCTTTATTGGCCTTATAACAGTTACTAATACAATGTAGTTTTATCCTACTTTACTCAATCATCATCGCAAAGACCCCCCACCCTCCAGTCCAAAAAGAAACCGTCAAAAGGTGCAAAGATCAAGACGCAGAAACATTGAAGGACTACTGTACACGTGGGTCTCAAAATAGATAATAACGATGACCATGAGCCAGTAAAGCGGGGAGACAGAGGGGGAAAAAAAAGGCGAACTATACATATACAAGTACAGAACAAGAAAGAATATAATAGATAGAATAGAGTGCATGCATGGTCTATCCAAATATGCCTAAGAAATATATATATACCAAGAATAATACGAAGGAAAAGCGGAGGGAAGACAAAAAGTTTTGAGTGTGCGAGAAACGTTGGTGGTGGTGGTGGTGGTGGTATAGTCATCATTGTTGCGCGCGTGATTACTGCTCGTAGCTGCCTCCTTGAAGGGAAGCCATCCATATCCTCGTCTTGTACAACCTGAAAGCAAAAATTGTAAGCAACCAACCCGACCCAGCGAAACCGGTGTGTTCCTGCTTACCGGAACAGCTCCCTGACGAGCTCCCTAAAATCGATCCTCTTCTCCGCAATAAAGTAGAACGTCAACTTGCGCCGGTCCCACTGATACTCGGCGTCGACGACCTCCATCGGCAGCTTCTTGGCGCGCACCTTGCTCTGGCACAGCTGCAGCGCTTTAGCCTCGTCTTGCATCTTGGACATTAACAGCCTTAGATAGCGACGGTCAGGCTGCTGTTCGTGTCGTGAGAAAGGGAAATCAAACATACTGAGCATCATGCGTGGACGCCTTGCCATAGATCATTTTTGGGTTAATCTCCTTCTTCGAACCACCACTACTGCCTCCTCCGCTCCCTCCAGGACTCACAGGGCCTTCCTCTTCGTCCCTGCCCTGTCTATCTCTCTGGAATGCCTCCACCTCCTCGACCGTAATACTATCATTGACCACCTTGCCCAAATCCTTTCCTCGATCAGCCTCCACCATCACCAAATCACCCACGCGAATCTCCTGTGACAGATCCGTAAGGTAGAAAAGATCTGTTCGACCCGCCTTAAACTCCACGATGTATAGCGGCCACGAAGACGGCACCGAGTGGAGGGGCAGACCCTTTCCAAGCTCATGCTCCGAAGAAGGAAGCCGGTGGTGGATCGGCTGGCTTTGCGGCGGCGGCGCTCGAGTCGAGGTCGGCGAGGCAACAGTGTTGGAGTAGGAAGGGGCTCGTGCACGCGTGGGAGAAGAGAAGCTGGTCGTCTGAGGATAGTATTGAATCCCTTGCCCTGGAATAAACCTAGCCGTGTGAAGCTCCCGTGAGGGTTGTTGTTGCTGCTGCTGCTGCTGCTGAGGCGTCGTCTGCTGCTGTCGGTAGCGTGACTCAAATTGCTCCTCACTTCCATCACTAGGCGACAGCTTGCTCACATTGATCGGTGGAAACGCAAATTCGTTGGAGGGCGGACTGCGAGACAGAGGCGCGTAGATAGGCAGAGAAGACGGTTGGCTCGTCGGCTGGGATGGAGACTGACCATCGTTAATGTTAAGCCGTCCGAGGTCGCCCGCAAGATCTTCATCCGATAACATAAGTCCACCGTGGCCATAGTTATTGACAGAAGAAAACGATGGCTGATCGTCGACATCCTCCACGCCTGGAGCATTGAAACCAACAATTGCTCCTCGCCTTGGCTGTACGACACTGACGCTATGCCTTCGACTGGCCGTCCCACTGCCGCCGCCACCGCCACCATTCTCACCCCTCGGAGGATTCATCCCGGACCATAACTCTCTGAATGCAGACCCGTCATCCAACAAAATCTGACCCACGTCGCGGACGAACGGGCTCATATTCGAGATGTCATATCTAACAAACCGGGAAGGAGAAGAAGCGTTAATGTTGATAGGGGATCTACCCATTGAACCATACCGGCTAGAGCCTGGTGGTTTCATGTCGCCGTATCGACCGGGTATGTTGACCGGGTTGGATAACAGGGACTCGTTCCAGCTCGCCATGCTTGGAGTAGCAACATACGGGCTGCCTATCGGAGTAGGCCTTCCTGCGGCAAGCGACTGAGAACGACTGCGTGAGATATCCTGGGCGTAGGTCCTGCCCCTCGAAAGCGAAGTTGGGATATACCGCTCGTCAAAACTCTCGAGTTCAGACTCGTCGTCCTCAAAAGTTGAAGGAAAGCTTCTCTCCCTCATGGCCGTTCCGAACTGGCTCTGTTGTGGATTTGTATTCGAGAAGGACGAACTCCGGGTAGCCATCTGACGGGTCGGACTCAATAGTCGCTGGTTCGACCAAGGTGAACTGACGACGTTGATGCTTGATGGCACGAAGGGCTGCTGCGACGGCGAAGAGAAGAAATGTTGCTGTCCTGGCGTACGCGGCGGCTGGCTGGCCGCACGTTCTCGTCCTGACCCGGAACCAGCATCAGAACCATTGGAAGCCAAGAAGCGATTGGTCCTGTCCTCTTCGTCGCTCGTCGCCGGTCCCATGTAAGTGCCTTGTTTACGTTGATCGTACGCCAGTTTCTGTTTGGATCCATGTCAATAGCGGAGCAGAAAAAAAAAAAGTTCGTGTTGCAAACGCACGAAAAACTTGAACCAATACCACTAACGCCCACCTAAATATTCTTTTCAATAGTCGATCCTGTGACTGAAGCCTGAGAAAAAGCGCTTTTTCAGCGCGCGAGATGATTTAAAAGGCAAAAAACGTACTGCTGCACAAAACGTGGAAATAATCAGGCAGGTTTTCGTGGCAACCACAACGTAGTATCCAGTACTCTAGAGATGCTCAATTCTTTTTCTTTCGCTGCTGCAGGAACGACGCCTTTAGACCGGAAAAAAGGCAGGAGAAAGTCGTGAAACACGCACGCAGCCCGCGAAATATGGGGTATCCCGTTCAGTGCCGCCTTTTCGTTGTATGTATGGATGCTTGTCGGCTCTATTTCTTGACAAAATGTAAGGGTAGGGAAATCTAGTCGTAAGAATCTAAGAGTCGTCAGCAAGCTGGTGGTGGTAATGGAAGAAGAAGGGTCTTAGTCCAGCCTCGCCTCAGCTGACCCATTGACAGGGGCATGTGACCTAAAAGGCATGTCCATTGTCCCTCTGACCGGTACAACTGACTACTTCTTCCGTTATGTTTTACGGATTCAACATTTCCTTCATTTTACTGGAGATCTGGTTTATTCTTTTTGTCTAGCTACGAGTCTGCCGTAAAATCTGCGCCACAAAACCTCGACTCTAGTACTGTCCTCGGGACCGGCTTCATTCCGGATCATCTTTGGCAATGCATCTCAGTCCACGTCAAGTCAAGACAATAACTGGCCCACAATTCCGGATCCTTCTTTTTCGCGCGATCGTGTGTGGACAGCAAAAGGTGCACGCGACACTGTCAAGCCATTATTGAACTAACGCGCCACTGTTGACGCGCTCTGATCTGCGGTGCGGTCCTTTCAATCACTATTTCGGAAGTTCCGACACAAGGCGGACTTTATTTTTACCTCCGAAATGGCCTCGTCTTGAAGGAATCAGGCAGATCATCAGACATCGACGGGAAGTAAAGGCTCGATGGCGAGTTCACTGCCTAGGTTTCTTGAGAAATGCTGTGAATGAAGCCAACCATCGGTAGAAGATTCCTCTAAAACGTGATCCGATAGAGGAAAAAGGGGATAATTGTAAGCGGTAGGAAGAAACGCGGCGTGGATTACGGAAGAGGGCAAGCGCTGGAGTCTAGCAAAGATGTGGAGTGCCGGTGGTAACCCTGGCATCTCCTAATACCAGTCACCTAGTGGCAAGCAAGGATGTGCTCTTGCGTTTGTTGCCTTGTTCGTCCGAGCGAGATTATTCTTTGATAGATAGAGGACCATCATCAGTAGCTGCGCGAAGGTCAAGTGATAGCATACTTGCTCAAATTTGAACGGTTCCAGCGCTCCGGAGCTTGCGAGCTTCATACCCATGCTCCGATGCATTGCTGCCATGCATCTAATAGGCTGGTAACGAGATACATCCAGATTGAGCGCCCCACATTGGACAGCGAAACAATGTTGAGTTTCAAATTTCCCCGACTTGACCCCATTATGCAACGTGGAAATAGAGACTGAAGGTGTTCTAACTCAAAGAAAGACCAGGAATTACGCTCTGGGCTCCCTGTTAGAAACGAGCATGGAGCGAAACTGAGGCTGCCTCATCTCATGAGCGTGCAAGCTTCGGTGGAATTCATATATCGAGGCAACAGATGAGATGGCCTCAGTGTCGCGGCGACCACATACTTATTTTAGAAGAATAGATCAGCACATATTCACAAAGAAAACGTCAGCGGCGCTTACTGGTCTAGCCTGAGCTCGGATACACAACAAGCGACGTAATGATGGTGTCGAGACATGTATGCCTGGAGCTAGGAAAACATCAACGAAACAATTGAAATACAAACGACCCTGATCATAGCCACCCAAGACCCAGCGTCCCCGTTTCGTTTTGCTTCCGTTGCGCGGCGAAGAGTAAGGAGAATAAAAGTACATTGTATCGTTATCGTATAAGTGTATACCAATAAACTACAAAGGTAAACCAAGAACTCCGAGATGGAATGACTTTTTGAAAACCCTTGAAAATCCGTGGGGGTGGGGTATCTAAGTACAAACGCGAAAGGCGTAGGTGAGATGGGCGGGGAAGATGAAGCGTGGGTAATAAATCCTCGGTAGAATACAGCGTATATGGATACAACGGTGGCGTGCGTGGATGCGAATGCGGCTGGTCTTCATGTCTTCGAGCCGCCGACCTTACGTTCAGCGGTTACTGTAGAGAATCATGAGCAAAAGGTATGCGAGAGAAAAAAAAATGCCACGCACCCCACGTCCGACGATCCATAGGGCATTGCTGCTTCGACGAAGACGTCGAGATCCATTTCAAGAGGCAGTGCATGTGGAAAACGTGGCTGCATTCACCCCATACTATAGAGGGACGATCCTCAGAAAAGAAGTGGAAAAAAGACGGCAAAGGAACGCACTAAGAGGACAGTCATCTCCCGGTACCTTGCAAGTTGGGCAGCAACCCTCATAGGCCACCCTGCATATCCCGCATACATCGCCCTCGGGGTCGTCGTCCTGGTCGTTGCCTGTGTCCCATTGCCATTGAGCGACAGCATGCCAGGATTTGACATTGACTTTCATTGTAGATGGTGGTTCGAGAACAAGAATGGAAGGACATCGAATATTACCCGGTCAATGAAAGTCAACAAAGCTTACGACATCCGTGTTTGTTTGTACTTGTGTACGTGTCGCGTTCGTGGTGATTGTCATTATTCGCGTTTGTCGAGTGACCTGCCGTCGGCGTTTTTCGGTCTCTTACGCTGATTCTTCTCACAGCGGCGGAAGTAAGTCGTCGTGGACATGGAGGTCGTCCAGAGTAAGTGCGCAGTGCTGATCTCCTTGAGGGGGGAAGACTGGAAAAACAGTGACATTATTCCCTTTTGCAGGTCTACCGGATGAACTTGAACAGAAACTCGAGGCACTAGTCTCGGTAGCCGAAATTCTGGGCCTCGACGATATGTCTTTTGCAAAGTAAAATTTTTGACATGCCCCGCATATGAAATACTCACAATATCCAGCTATTCCCGCGCCCTCGTCCAGCTGTCGGAGGAGCAGCTCTCCTTGAAGCAAATGCAGATTCGTTTGGCGTTTATCGAGAGGCAGCTCGTCGCTCATCTCGCCACGGCCAAGCATGAGCACTATCAGATAAAAAAGTGGGCTCAGTCTAATTTCAAATAGAAACGACCCTGCACTATTTAATTTACAGGTGGACGGAACATTTTCAATCAGACATTCAGTCCGGGGAATCCGTGGAAGATACCATCCGCAGACGGGAAGCCCTCCTTCGCAAAGCAAAGGAATATCGCAAGGAACTTTCCGCGCTGCCGATCTCAGAGCCACCCGTCACGATCTCTGATCTTATAGCCCAGTCCGACCGTATCAAGCAGCGCAAAGAGCAGATAAAGGCGAAGCGGAGCAAGATCAAGGCGTTCAAGGGCGTGCCGCCGGTACGTCTCTCCCGTAAAACCTTTCATGGCCCTGACCGATGTTTATCCAGAACCTGGACCTCGCACGTACACAACTCCGCGAGGCGCGCGAAGAGCAGGTGAAGCTCTTTCAGCTACGTGAGAGGCTCATGGAAAAGATGACAAGTGGGGTGTCTTGACGGAGACCGGAAGCAACCGCGATTGGTCGTTGAATATCATGTCGCGAACGGCCTGTTGCCTTCGCGCGTCTGCCTTCTAGAGCATCTCTTCGAGGCGGCATATAGTGTATTTGTGCAACATCCACTTTATAAACATTGGTCAGTGTCATCGAGCGGTCTAGAGGAGATCCGTCTTGTATGACCGTTTTCGAAGAGTTGGAATTGGCCCTTCAGTGGCCCTCAGAAATGTCCAGGTCTCCTGTGACTCAACATCGTGTAACCACTACTCCAACTGCTTTAAGCTCAAAAACAGGGTGTTTGTTCTCCAAACACAACTCTGGAGGTGCATGCAGAATTCGGTACGGTTAATAAGTGTGAGGCTAATATATGGCCGCGAAACGGACATGTTAATAAGTATCTGGCAGTTGATAAGTCTCAGAAGGCAGCAAGAGATCAGGCCGGTCAGAGAAAGCCCAAAATTGATCAATAATGCATAGGTTGTGGTCCCAGCGGTTGTACGATGTGTTATTTTATGACAGAGCGCTCCGACTCACCATTTTGCCCCCGCCACTTAACATTGAGCGTCGTATCCACCAACAACCCACATTCATAGCTGATGTAACTGCCAACGAGATGCCCTAGAAGGGCCAGAGCAAATGGGCTCGTTTATGAACGGCGATCACATAATGTTATTAACATGGCCCCAGGTGTCAGTGTTAATAAGTAACAGTTAACAAGTCCGCAGACTTATTAATCCTACCCTAGCACTGCAGAACAGATAAGACTCTTCAACTACACGAGAGGCTCATGGAAAAGTTGACAAGTGAAGCGTCTTGACAAACACCAATGGGGACACATGTTAGTGATGGAATTTCAGGTCACATTTCGAAATTGTACGCTGGCGATCCATTTCAAACATATGGGCATGATTATATTATATAAAACACCCTTCATTTTCCTCGCCACCACTAAGTACTTCTGGTGGACCCAAGGGCCAGGTCGTTACTTCTTCTGGACAGGCACTTGTTCGGGATACTTCTCTTGCCTCAGGAAGTTAAAAGGTTGCGCAATCTCCGGTGGATCAATACGTGAATTTCACTGCCGTCTGTTGACCGGCTGCTATCCCTTCATTTCGAGAAGAGATCCGCTTTGCACGGATTGACCTTTATGGCAGACTCGGCGACTTGTCGCGGACCATTGGAAGGAGATTTCTTACCGACATCTCGGTTCCTATTTAGTCCAGACCTTCAGCATGAGAAGGGTTTCGTAAATCCTTATGTTCTGAGGGAAAAACCTCATCGAAGGCGTCTTATATTATCCCACACTTGCAGCAGTCAAAAGGCCGTATGGCTAGGATCGGCGTGGCCGCATCTTTCCGGAGGGTTTCCTCCAGTGACACTGTGATTTTTGATGAACTAATGTTGGCATATAATTGCTGTAACTCGTATGTATAGATGTGAAAGGACCTGTGGGTAAGATTATGCATCTTCTGAAGGTACTCCCTGAGGACTGTATATTTTCCTATTTTTATTCCCCGGCTCTCAACCTCTGCCGGACAGGCGTTGGCTCCTTGAGGATTAGTTCTTCGATGGGCCAGCACGACGAGCATATTAACATCAAGAGACTGCCCTACTGGGAGGATAGAACTGGTCAGGTTCAAAATCCACAAAATCGACAATTTTTGGTTCAAGGGACATTGAGATAGATGTATAAATACTTGCTCATATACAGGTACGATGATACAACTATTTTATATGTACAGCTTATGCAGCAAATTATACATCGAATCAGCCCTACATGCTAGTCCTACGTGGAGATAGCATGCGTCACTTTAAAAGACGCTGTATTTCGTTTACCACATACTCGGCCTACGGCGAAAAAGAGGTCAACATAACACGGTTATATGGTAGCCTCCTTACCCGAAAGTTTCCCCCGGCGCTAATGCCTTGACTGGTGTGCCGATCCCACCTGGCCCATAATCCGCACCTTTGAACGGGACTGTGTTTCCCCACCACGATTGTATTGTATCCAAGCCGATCTACATCTGTCAGGAACGAGATCTCAAGGTTAAACGGAAATCTGACCGTTCCGTTCCTGGGATATTGCAGGCTATCTCCACGTCAGTCATTTCTCAGGTCCTGGTATAGGAATAGTCTCCTACCAAAAGAATATCACGATAATCGAGACGGTCGTCCCGGCGTCAAGGGCGGCCGACAAGACATCTGTGTTTGAATGAGTCGCGGACTCAAGGGTGTTAAGCGAACGTACAATTGTATTTCGTCCACCAGGAGAAGTGTCGTCTGAGATGTAAAATGTCGGCAAGAAGGGAGATATCTCGGTAGCGAGAGGTGCCTGCCTTCGAATGTAATATTGGAACAGCATTCCCACTGCACTGTTTAGAAAAGGTATTGGATTAACCATCAGACGGGAAAGGGCTGCAAACACTCACGCCCAAGGAACGTAATTGATAGAAGTGGCGGGTGGTATGAGTCCAGTTCCGTTGAAGATAACGGGGCTTTTAAAGCTATCAGATAACGCGGACGAGCGTGATAATGAGGACATACAAGCTGTAGTCGGTGTCAACGATGTCGTAAAATGCGTAGAAAAGAACGTACTTGACATATCTCAGCCAGCTGCTCGGATATCGCCTGCCTACAAAATATATGACTAGGGGAGCGATGGCCCCGATCAGGAAAAAGTAAACCAGCGCTATTGAGTGGGAAGAATCAGAAAGAAACGAGAAATTTGGATCAAAATCTTACGACTATATGGTTCCTTAGTATAGAAGACGATTAGAGGCGCGATCAACGCACTAATAAGTTTGTCCTTTGGAAAACTGCAGCCCCGGGCCGATGACACCCCACTAGAAACATTCCGCCATTAATGTCTAGACAAGGAGCTCTCAGATGATAGCTTACGATGATACTAGCGGTCCCAAATACCTCCGTACCCGGACATATGAAACCGTCTTTTTGGTCAGGGGAGCACATTCCCCTACCACCCGGATTAATAAGGTTGCAAACAAACAGGAAAAAGTCACCTACTCTATGTTCGTGAACATCCATGACTGCACTCCTAGCTGTACTGTACCAGCGACAGTAGTGGCTATGACCTACGTGCAATGACCCCATGAGAGACAGCCAAGAGAATGTAGGGAAATAATAACCTGGGCCCAAAACATCGACCGCGGAGGGATTTTCATGTAATGCCCAAGCTTAAAGTCGGAAGTGAATGTCAGAGCTTGTGACATGGTCTAGAACCCGGATCAGCCAACGGCAACAATGTGGCAGTGGAAGGACCTATACAATGTAACCCCACGTCTTGAACATCATCATGGCGACGGGACGGCCGGGACGAGCGTATCCGATGACGAGCTCCGTGATAACACTAAGAGGTGCCCGTGGGCCTGAGAACACCTTATTGAAGCAGAAAGCTCACTTCGTTCCGACTTGTTGGTTCGTGATGGCTTGTATCATGCCCACAGGGATGACGTATGTGAAAGCTGGATGAAATGGAGTTGAGGAGTCGTTACCAGGATCGACGGGAAAATGTGCGGACCGATGACAAGCGCTAGAAGAAATGCCCAGACCGGCATTTCTCTGTCAAGGACACGTCGGTTAGAGATACCGAGAAAATATGGTGCGCAGCAGACGTACGTGGGCCATACTTCGATGCTGATTACACCGAGGACGAACATTGTAAAGAATATACCAAGGTACCACCATTCCGGTACTGACGAAATAGATTTAATGTCAGTTGAACTTGAAAAGGTGCAGACTCATACCTTGTTTATATTTTGACATTAGACGGGAATGAATATCGGGCTGCTCATGCAAGGCACGGCAGCTCTGTATCCATATTTGTTTTCGGAAAAATAGGATCGCGTGCATTATCGTGGCAGTTATTGCGGCAAACGACAGGCTAAATACATAGTCAGTACCTCGTCACCTGCAGTTCGAGTGGAAACCTCGGCGTACCCGTATGAAATTGCGAACGTCGTTCTATAGGGAAGTCGTCAACGAGGGCCATAGTTGGTCGGACCTGATTAATCTTACGATATGAAAAGAGGGCTATACTCGTGATAGGCATCGGCATTGAATGTTGAATTTTGCCGGAGGATCCGCGTAACATTGTACTCTCGCATCTGATTATCATAGGAGGATCGCGAAGATATCCTGCACAGGCAGCAATGAGTACATGCCAATGGCCAAGTCGTGGTGACCTACGGCATATACTTGGCATGCCATGTATCCGTGAACTTTGACCAAGGTGAGCTTCTTGCGCGACTGAACAACCACGGAATAATTACATACGTAGAGGATGGGCGTTAGAATCCCTGTAATGAAGAATCAGCTAAGGTTGATTCATTATTATAATACGACTCACAGAAAAAGAACACAAAACCTGTGAATATGTTGGCTTCAGCCCACCCTGGTCCGTGTAATCAGCGCGGGAAGATTGATGCTACGTGAATTAAACTCACAGGGTGTAGCGAGGGGGGAGCCAATGTATCTACGAGTCATAAGCAGACGGTTTGTACGATGCAAGAAGAGTACCTACGCAATTTGACTCCAATCAAATGTCACTACAGACAATCCCTGTAGGCGGATATGAAGTTCTACTGGACAACGAACGATGGCGTAGCTCACCAATCCATGGATGTAGCCGAACAGCTGAGCCAGAACTGAAGGGATAGGTTTAAAAGGACGATGAGGAGGCGAATTCAATGAATCACCTACCAGCATCATTTGGTTTGATCCAAGTAATCCACGAGAAGTAGGAGAGCGCCTGGACTGGAACAAAGTTGGGACACATGGTAGTCATTTACCGAACGCGTCTTGCTCACAAAGGTACCCAGGGAAGAAATCTGACGAGAATTCATCGATTAGGATGCTTTTGGGTAACAGACGCACTCACACCAAGCAAAAGCCGCTAAAAATGCATAGACGAAGAATCGCTCTCGATTGATTCCACCACGGTTCCCAATACCAGCATACTGCTGAGAATGTAGCGTATTGAACAAGGCGCAATTGACTAGTTTTGCAGGCCATATCATTGAAGGGGGAGCAACCAAAAATCGTCGTGCTACTCCACCAATGGCGTATCCGATGATTTGCGTTGACATGACAATAAACCATTGGTCTGTGAATCACGATCAATAGAAAGAGGCGGTTGTGAGGGGGGTTGAACATACAACTGAAGCTATATATCTGATTATAGTATACCCTTTGAACGACGATGATGTCAGTAGCATACGCCGATCCAGCACCGACAGAAGCCATGATCTGTGATGAGAAATGTACTTCATGAAACATGCTCAGCCCCCGCACAATCAACGATCGGCGTACCGTTATTAGAACATGCTCCTTAACCGTGAATGGTGCTAGTTGAAATAGAAGTAAGCAAACCTATTTCTTTGTGGATTTTCCAAGCTCACAAGGATTCAACGATATTCCAAATACCTTCCACCGGGGAACGTACGCAGCAGCAACTTGACCTATGGGAAACGACAAAAGTTGTGCAATAATCCCCGTGACGTAGACATTTGGATAGCGGAAGAAAAAGAACTGGTTGATGCCAGGTATGAGGATAGCCCACATCAGACCAATGATCCACGCTCGGAGAGTCGCTACAGGCATATCGGGATCGTCGGTATTGGAGACGGCTGACCGCACTTCTGGGTAAGGGCTGTCGTCATCAAACACCAACATATGATCCCGGTCCAAGTTAGGATCATCGAACTGCGCACCGGTGATGGCCTGCACTGTTAGTAAATCCAATATGTAGGCGTAGCGTAGTGACAAACTTACAGAAATCGAGTCGGCTTCACCATCATTATCAGCATGTGCGGCGGAGAAATCACGCTCATGGGACTCACCGGTCATAGTCTCTTGCTGTTGATATGTTTCGTCCTCATCTTTTTCAACGTCAGGAATGGTGGATGGTGCGTATGAATTTGGACGATTGAGTTTAGCAAGCGAATAGTGGGGGCCTCGCACTGGATGATCGCCCATAATCACAAGGTTCGAAAGAGTTTCCGCACAGGAAGATGTCATCTTATATTTCGTATTTTTAGCTTGGATGCGGAATCGGAATCAGTGTTGATAAGGATAGCACATGTTCGTATACCATGAGCTTTGGATGTTCACATCGGACGGAGTGACGCCGGAAGGGAGGTGTGAGGGCCGCAGTTTTCGGCGTTTTTCTTGGTAGAAAATTTGACGGATATGATAAAGGTAGCGAAAGAAATGCTGGAGCGTCGATGGAAGGAAGCATAGCAGCCTCGCCTATCAAAAATCACATGTAATCAAGAAGTTGAGGTGACATATGATATGTCTTGCGGGAATAAACCACATTGGCCGACAATTTTGAACTATGGCTTTCCATCATAACATTCTCGACAAGGAAACATCAGTGGGAAAGATAAGGTTAAAACGACTCGTATTTGGCTTTTCACAATGGGAACATGATGTCGAGAAGCAGCGTTCCCCCACGTTCAGATTGATACACCGCCCCTGTAAGCTAAATGAACAATACATCAGATTGTAAGAAGGATCAGCTTAATCAAAGAAAACATACATGCCCATATGCATCGTTTCTTGGCGACAAATGAAAAAAGAGCATCAAAAGCTCCGATTATATCTCCTGGGATTCTTGACAGCTGCTCCTCGTGCTCCAATGTACCGTCAAATCATACTTATCGCCCTCTAGAAAGACGACCGCACACCGGGTGCTACCAAGGTAATGAGCTGGGCCCCCAGGATTCTGATTCTTGATTGATGACGGCTTTCCGTGCGCTATACCTGATAACATCGAGAAATTAAAAGCTGCCATAAGTTCCTTTCAACTTGGGGCCATGAGACGAGAGAAGGAAGGCAGGTGATGGCCTAACAAGGCAAATTGTGGGTCCTTGTTGGTGCATTCAAAAAATAAAGACGCACAAACATAAACCGATCGCCTCCCTTTCCAACTACTTGGCATTTAACCACCATCCCTCATTGACTCGGAATGGTCTCTTCCTTGCATTCCGTCCCATCAAGTAGAAAGCAGAATGATCAGCAGGTGCATAGCCATGTGCTGGTGTCGCGGTGCCGCACCAAGTGCCTTGATGCCGAAGATCTATCATCTCAGTCAATACTGAGGAGTCATACCATATACCCAATCTTCTGTGTGACGACGACGAACACAAGCAGGTGTGCAGCTCAGCAATGACATGAAGATCTAGTTACATTTACTTCTGCTATAGCTTCAAGTGAACCTCCTCATTGCCGTGGTATCTGTACAGGCTCAAGTTTCTGTTTCAAGGGACTGAATAGCCCCTGGAGCAACGGAACCAAAGTCTCGGACTGGGCCCATAATCAAATCCGATCCCACACTGCGCATAGATGGCTCGTGCATGTGGAAGAGCAACCTCGCTTAACAATGCAAGCTACCGATGAGACTGCTGGAAGAACCTGAGATTGCTATCAAAAGCTTTGAATGGCGCGCCTTGCATGGAGCATAATGCGACCAGTCTTTTACCTTTGCACTATGCAGATATCTACTCGGCTAGACTTTTTGGCCTCCCCTTCTGTCAGGCATGATGAAGGTCTTGTTGCACTGGAATTTCCCCTCCAGATGGATCGCCGCTAAGAAATGCCATCCCGCATACCCCGCCGTTGTTCCCACTCAATTACAGTCGAAATACACGCAGCGGATGCTTCCGGATTTTCTGGGAACGCCGTTACAATGTTCTCTGTAGTGTATGATTGTGCTGTTCACCGACAAGAATGTCTTCACAATCAGGATTAAGGTACCGAACATGGGCGTTCTCATCATGTAATGTGAACACTTCCTTGACATCGCGCGTAGATTTGACGGTCTTTCCTCTCTCCCCTTTCATCTAGGCACTGTTTTGTCTTTGGTTCGCCCGTCAGCATCTGCATCAAGTGAAGCTGAGATGACGCCTTGCGATGACGCGTCATGGGAATCAAGGGGAGCGGCCGGACCGTTCGTCTTTCGTCCTCGTTTCTTGCCAAGATTCTTGGTCTGCACCGGCGAAGTCTCATGAGTAGTTCTACGGTCCAAGACTGCCACTCGTGATCATCGTATGAGGGTCCCCTGGAAATTGGGTGTCGACACCAGGACAATGGATGGTCCAATACTCCTTCAAATTCTGTATCGAGAAATTCGCCATGCCTGTGAGGATTTCCTGCAGAGCTTCTCTGTTGCTCTTCACTCTTTGGCGTCAGGCGACATGTTGTAGCCGGTAGACGGTTGCGGTCGTGCCGGAGAAAAGGCTACCGAAGAGTTTAATAGCAACACGGCGGACTTTTGGCCTATAGGTAATTTCAATGCTAGCTCAGGCACACCAGTCAGAACATCGTTCTGAGTGGTAACCACACCGCCACCGTTACCATACCTAACTTGCCTTTTGAATGCTCGGTTTGGGTTTCCTTTCTCATTTTTGTGTAAGCATTTCAAATGTCACTGTGCAACAAACGAGCTGAATCTGTCACCCAGTGGTTTTCGTGCCTTTCGACCACGGTTCTGCATGGTACCGGCGCCACTTACCTGGTTGTGCTCGGGACTGTGTGTTGGAGACTTTCTCTCCAGTACAGCGACCCTGACCCCTTCTCATGCTCCTGTGCGCCATCTCACATTATCTACTGGCGTGGGCATGGAAGTTATGTCGGGAATTTTATTGTGAGTGTTGCTTCGCACTGTTTCATCCTCTCCGGCTGAATTGTTTAACCGACCTCAGTTTTCGTCATCAAAAGCTCGCCATTTGATGGATATATGCCTAGATCTGCCGTGTTTATTTTCGTATGATATTTCACTCCCCACGCACAAACCTCTTCAAGTACTTATTCGGCAAGCAATTGTCGCTCGTCGGCCTCTCAAAAACCAACAGCTCTTTATCTCTGCCAATCAAGCTCAACCGTCCTGTCGACCCTGAATTTGCCACCAGAGCCTGGATATCATGCAACGCTTTCCCCAACTCCCTCAGTTTCTTCTGAACATTTTCTTCAACGTAGGACAGGCTTTCCATCGTCCTTCGCTGGACGTCCGTAAAACAGCCATCCTTGTGCGTACCGATGAACAGCTCCGGTGTCTGCGAAAAATACATCTGCAGAAATTTCTCCCTCCATAATAGCGAATTACCGGCCTTCCTTGTCGCCAGCTCAACAGTAGATTCGTTGGCTATGGGTTTGCCGGCGATGATGACGGTCAACAAAATCGTGTCCTCGACTATGTCCGTGGATGCTGGGAGGGCAAGCTTCGATGCAAACTCAGCCGACAAATCGTCAACTGATGCATGGGTTGGATCTTCTGGGACAAGGCACGCGTCCACTTCGAAACGCACCACCATCTTGAGACCACTGAGGTCCTACGAAACTATCAGGTTACGGCGAAGTTTACGGCATAGCTGCGCACACACATAGGTGATGATCCTATGATGCCCGCCTGAACTCGTCTCGCAACCAGGAGCAGCACACGTGACCGCTCCCTCGAATGCATACCCATACCCAAATTTCTTCATCTTTGTCTTTGCCTCCCACCGGTTACATAGCACCGTCTTCTCCCCTGCAAGCTGCAGGTCGATCCGAAAACTCTGCTTCTTTGCGCTGACCCACGCCATGAGCTTGCGTAGCCCGTTTCTGTCGATGATGAAATCGACAGAGGGCCAATCGATCGTGGTTGAAGAGGGGTCGGACCCGGGTGCTATATTGTCAACAGCAGCGAGGATGGGTAGCAACGGAGTTTTAGGGAGGCGGTAACCATTCTGGTCGCAGAACTGGTATCCTGAATCAGCGGGGACGATAAAGGGAGTAGGCTTGTTCCTCCAGATCCGGGGAGAGCCTGGGCAGATGGGTTAGCGCCCGGCGCTTGGGAAATGATGCAACCTCTCACCTGGCACCAAGATCGTCGGCGATGAGCTATCCGTCCAATTGTATGACCCGATGTATCTCACATCCTTGATCGCGACAGCCTCTTCGTCCGCAGCTGGTACCGTTAGTGTTGTGATGGGATCTGCGGCCAAGCCGTCGGTGATGTCTCGTTTAAAAGTTGAATGATTTGCAGTGGTGGGAGGAGCAGATCCTCGACCGCGGCCACGAGATGAAAGAGATGCAGGTGTGGGGGGATTGCTCATCTGAGGATATGGAGCGACGACGGTCTGGGAAGAAGGCAACCCCGCGTCTATCAGATGATGGATCGAAGGCGACCGTGCGAGTCCGTTGAAGGATTGAATACAACTTAAGCGCCCAAGATCACTGTTCCGAATATGCAAAGGTGAATTGCAATATCATCCATCTAATCAATTGTTCGATGAAAATGGCGAACAATGATATGCGGGTCTGCGTCAATTATGTATCGCTCTTTGGGCGCCTGGGTAAAATCATATCGGGTTTGAATACATTTTTGACGACAAGTACAGCTGACGCCTTGTTGAGCTTCTTTTTTACAGCCCACAAATACAGTTTGTGATAACATCTCGGTCGCCTGCACCTCAATCCGTGTCCTCCGAGTCCCTGAGCAGCCTCATCATCTCATCCAAAGCAGCATCCTCATCCGTTCGATGATTATGCCTCTTTATCTGATGCCTCTTCAACGCATCTTTCCTCGTATACATCTCGGAGCATTCATCGCAAACAAAACCTTTCTTCTTATGCTTGATGACCAAAAAATGCCTCTTCGCGTTACCTACCATGTTGCTAGTCCAGTTGCAGTCCGGCCAGGCGCACCGTACACTGTCCTTATCCCCAAACTGGCCCCTGTGTACAGGTGTATGCGCTATTACCTCGTCAAGAGTTTCGAAGTGCTCGTCGCAGTCGGGTTGGACGCATCGGAAAATAGTTGGCTCGTAGGTGACCGATCGGGCTCGCGCCCTTCGACGGGGTTGGTCAGGGACTGAGTTGGTATCCGGGTTGAGGACGACATTAGCCACGGGTTCGGTTTCGGTCTGCATGCCTGGGGCGTAGGGGGGCGCTGTGTCATCCGGTGGGGCGACTTTAACGTCGAAGTGGCGGAACCTGTATTCTTTGAGGGACATGCCCTCGCGATTGCCACTGATGCCGCGTTCGGGTGTCTTGACGCCTTGGTTGATGCACATGTAGCTGTTCTCGAAGGAATTGAGGCTGCGGTCGCTGTTCCTGGGACTTCCTGTGCTACGGTGTGCAACGTCGCGTTGGGGTGATGCTGCATCGCGACGGTCGACCTTGAGTTCAGGGAGTCTGACGACGCAAGTAACGGGAGTTACAGGTACAGGGCCACTGAACCGGTCAGGTTCGCGGGCATCAAACTTGACATCGCGATTGAAATTACGACCGTCATCGTGACTGCTGTACCTCCTGTTGCGTTTCTCCTGGACGTTGTTGCAATGTTTAATCTGGTTAGAGTCGCGATACCGGTCTTGGCCGTCAAGGAAATCTGACATGAAGTCGGAGGAGAGCGGACTACTGGGGGGGACGCTAGGACAGCTGTCTGTCTCGGAGTCGCTGAAGTCGCTTTCGGCCAGAGCGGCGATGGGTGGGAGGGATGGTGTTGTGCGAAGCGGCATCATCATCTTGGTGTGATGGGGTTAAGCTGGTCACCATTACCTGTGAACTATTCATTTATATCTACCAGCACAATGTGGTCTTTACCATTCTGCCTTGTCTTTGTCTGATTATCGTGGGTCAATGATATAAAGACATGATTTGGTCTATTCCTTTGTGGCATTACACGCGAAACAATGTGGCTTCGCCACGTATTATCCAACGCCACTCGTCGGTCTTTGTTCTTGACAAATAGCAATCACTCCGTAGCAAGGATCTAAGTGGACGAAGCATGGGCCAGAGGAAGACTTTGAAATGGATCAACAGGGATTCAAATTCAAAAGTTAACTATGCCGCTCAGTGATTGCTCAAGATGGAAGAGCCTTGAAGTTTGAAGACAAACGTTCAGACGACGAAAAGCTCGCTACCATTCCATCCGTTCATCTGTATGACAAAGGAACACTGAACGGCGCTCATTAATTTGCCTACGTGATTCGTTCCAACTGTTCACGTCGACATCGGATTCCACGGGATAGACTCCCAACATCTGAAGTCGCTCATTTTCTTCAACCTCATTCGGCCATCACTTGTGCGGCAAATATCCCACCCTAAAGATACATCATGAAGCATGAACACCTCTAGCGCCACGCAGCGCTTGGCAAACATTGCAGCGATTTCGTCTGGGTCGCTTGGAGCCTCGTCGTTATCTGCATCTGCATCCTCTTTATCAGCATTCTCTTCAGCACTGGTCTCCTCTGGAACAGGCCCGCCCGGCGGTATTGGTTCCCCAAGGTTCCACCCGAAGTAGCGAAGGTGAAGGAGGGAGGCCAGTTGGGAAGCGTACGTGGCCGATGGCTCAGGCTAAGCACCCGGGACCCCAAGCGAGCTTCTTGCAGTTGGAAAAGGAGTAAATGAGTCAACTGGGGAAAACGCTGGGAGATGTCACTGAAGACGCTTGCGCTGCCCTCTAACAAACCGTCAAGGACCAGATTCGTGAGAGGCTGTGGCGCGAGTACCTCTAATAGTGGACGCACTTCTGCGTCTGTTATGCCAGCGGCAAATCGAGTTTTGAAATGAGTGATATTGGGATTTATCACTCAAGGTTGACAGCCAAACGCAGAGAAGGCCAACCGATGCAGCCGAGATGCTTGTCAGGGACAAGCGCGATAAATAGGAGAAGTGATATTCCTTGGCCGACCGGATGAACAAGGTAAGTTCGAGCTGCTGCGAGTGGGAAAAGACGTAAAGAGAGGTGATTTTAGTGCAAAACGCGAGGATGTTCCAGGCCGTAATCCAATCCAGCCCTCCAAGTCCACTGATACGAGATATCGCCAGCCGTAGGTGGCGCACGTTGTCAAGGTTGAAAAGCTGGGTACAGCAGCCAGTATTTTAGCCTCCGCCACACTGGCTACACCGAACAAGCATCGGTCTACGACCAGCCTCTTCAGGTTGGGCAGAGTTGACATGGTTCGAAGGAAGTGCGTGCTGACGACCAAATCGTAATGCTTTCGCCATGAGGAAAGGCGGCCGATAGGCCAGAGAGGACGGAAGACAAATCATAGCGCGTGTCAAAGGTTGTAGGTAACCTGCCGCTGCCGGCCCAGGAATTGCGAATATTCAGAATCTCGATCTGTTTAGTGATATCAGGGCGCGCTACGAGGAATGCAATGTCTTGATGCGCCTTGTCCAGAGACTGCTGATAACACCAGAACAAACGATTTTTTTTTTGTTCCGTGACAGACCTGCCTAGTATTAATGCTATCTCATTGGTCGAAGGCACGCACAAACGTATGGAGCGAAACTAAGGGCGATGCCTTAGCGCTAGATTCCACTTGGGTAGCACCGGATGCTGACTCACTCGGTAGGTGTATGGCGCTCCCAAAGCCCTCATATGTCGACAAGTCCTTGACAGAAGACGTACGACGCCACTGCCCCCCTGCTGAAACACGAGATCCAGCAGCTCGTCAGGGAGATCAAGAAGAAATAACTTCTGGATCTTCGGCTCGCCCTTGGAGTCTGTTATCTGCCTGACAACGCTATCTAATGACAGGGTGAGATTTCGGAAGTAGGCATAATGAAAAAAAAAGTTTCACTGACCTGTCCATTCCTTCACGTCTTCGTAAACGTATGAGCTTGGTACAAGCCATCGCTCTCGAAAATTTTCCCACATCTCCTCGTTCTGAATTTCATAGTACACATACGAGCGACCTTGGCCTTCCAGGAGACCCTCAGATGTCCATCCGCGTTCGAATTCCAGCACAAATGGGGCGAGAGCTTCCACGTCGGCAAGAAAGAGAGACCAACGTGATGAATAGAATTCAAATCTCTTCAAATATAATGAACGACTGCCGCGACCTTTTTTTTTTTAAAAAAAAATTGCGCTTACGGAGAGACGTCGACCCGTGAGATCCAAGTCGCCCTATATAAAGGTTTACTTACTTACTCTCCCCGACGCAGATGAAAAATTACTCACCGAGTAAAAGCCTATCATGGTCGTTATGAACGCCTCCAAACGGGCCACCTTGAAATCGATGTCCTGAGAAACGTCGATGGGCCCATCTTCGTCGAAGTGGTTGAAAATTTTGTAGGACATGCTGCTGTTGTATATAGCCTTGTCGAAGACTGTCGTTGGTGGCCATGATACAGAATGATAGGTCTGGCGCCGTAGAGAGGCCTCATCCTCTAACAAATAGTGAGTGTCCTGCATGGTGGTAGGTAACGAAGAGGCGTCGCTTCGACACCGAGACAACGGCTGGATTTCCAGCCCTGCATGATGGAGGTGGTTGAGTGGTTGGGCGCCACAGCCACCGGACTGCGGCCCGATGGATCCGCAGCATTGCATTGGAGAAAATCTATAAATACTAAATTTTCTAGTGGGACCACATGTCGGTTTTCTAAACTCTAAGCTGCTCTAATTAAAAGTCATCGTGCATGACAGGGTATTTCATCTGGTGAATACCAGGACGGTATGAAACGGTCTCTTCACACGCCAGTCCAGGATATCCTAGTGCGTCAACCGTTGCTTGTGCGTCCTCGGGTAAGCACAGATGCATTCTTCGAAGGAAAGGCCCAACATGGTAGCGTTCACTTAGAGCCGCGCGCAACACAGAGTGCCTTTGGACAATCCAGTCAAAAATATTTCTGTAGTTTTTTGGCGAGAGGGCCATGATCCGCAGGAAGGAAAGGTTTGGGAGGACCAGAGGCAGTCGGGATACAGAGTCCTCTGTGGACATGAGGGGCATGGGGTAATTCATCGACGTCAAGGTCGCGGTGTCAGGGGAGATTAAGAAAAGGTGCCTGAGCGACGTCAAGGATGCCATGAACCTCAACGGCGTGGGCAAGTGTTTCTCTTCGACGCAGCCCCGTTGGAAACTGGCCCATGCTGGGAACCGTTCCTCTCGAAAGCACACATATCGAAGAATAAGAAAGGTTATCTGGCTCAAGGGTAGGAAGCGTATCATAGTATCAAAAAGGTGGCTGATGCAAAGGGCATGGAGATCACGCATATAGCCTCCAAATGCGTCTTCACCATACATGTTGATTATAACCAGGGCCCTAAGCGCAGGAAACGCGACACGGTGGAGCAACGGCCGGAGGTCGCGAGCATTATAAAATCCGAGACGAAGCATGCGAACGTTAGGCAGCGATAAACGTTCACCAGGAGAGAACGAGGCCCCGGAGTCTCCGGCCTCAAACGCACCGAGGATCTCGACCTTGTCGAGGGTATCCTTGCTGAGCCGTAGGATTTCAACCAATTCTTGGATCTTTGGACAGTGATGCACTAGAAGCCGTGCGAAACTGAGGGATGTCAGGTTTGATTGTCGGAATCCTTGCCACCGGCATGGAACACCAATGATCATGTCTTTAAGAGACGGGCATAGCTCTGCTTTGGGTGGAGCCAAGCCCCCAGTCGCAAACACTTCGTCGGCATCCCGGAGGGAGAAGTGGTAGAACTGTAGATCTTCCAGAATGGGCATCGAGATAGCAAAGATGCGCTCCCAAAGAATGCGATGGCACTCCCAGGAATGATGGTTGATCACCAGCCTTTTGAATCGTCCAGCGTGAGGAAGGAGAAGGTCGGATAGCACATATGCATGCCTGCGAGTCCACCAATCCCGGAACGATGGGGGTGGTCGGACAACGATTTCGACATTGACAGGTTGTTCGCCCGAACGTTGGAGATAGAGCTGGGCCAGAGGAAAGCCGACTCGAGATCCGTTAACAGAATCGTGAACATGAGACGTGGCTGGCGCGGCGACTGCTGATGACCGCTGAATGGCCACAGAAGTCCACAAGGAAGAACACTTGTTAGCGACGTCGCGCCAGATACCACAAACATGGGAGATGACCAAGGGTAGGCCGGTGGGCCTGACACCCCACATGTCCCGCATCTTTGGTTCCCAGGTAACCTGCAGGAAGATTTCGATGAGAAGTTCGGGAGGAAGGCGGTGAATGGGAGAGGAAGGCGGAGAGATTTTCGATGTCCTGTTGCGCAATAATCGACTCGGAACCTTCAGCTTCGCCATGCCTGTGGAGCATTCGTTCAGCGCTGGACCATGCATGCATGCAGTTTGGTTTGCCTACCTGATCTTAGTATGTAGCGCGATGGACGATGTGCTGCAACGCCGACTGTGGGCAGAGGCAGTCCTTATGTAGCCGCGGCTTACGTTCGAAAAGTCAACCAAACCTTTGTCAAAACAAAGTACAACTGCCGGCAGATCCCACAAAGGCAACAGGAACAGAACAATGGCGTCAAGCAAGCAATCACCAACTGCATCACGAAACTCTGCTTATCCTGGCATGAAACCTGAATGTTGCACAATTTCGGTCACAGCGGACCAGTGCCACCATTGGGTCAAACTGAGAAAACTGTAAAACAATGCAGTCCAGATATTAGAATTTCTTTTGTGCTTCGTCACTATTCGGTAATATGAAATATTACATTGGAGAGACTTACGATAGACAGGAGTATCAAACCTTCTAATCTTCGTCCATCTCATCAATATCGCCTTCCAGTTCATACATCTCCTCGTCGTCCATTTCGTCGGCATCATCATCTTCCATCCTATCATCCTCGAGCATCCAAAGAGGCGGATGCAAATCCGGCTGATATCTAAGCACGACCTTCTTCGCAAATACCTCATCCCTTTGAACAATCGCCTCGGCCTTCTCCTTCGCGCACACTGGCAGCGTTAGTTCAAAACACTCCAGAATTGTACAGGCACGCATACGTGCACGCTCCTGCCAGAAGGACAGAATATGCTCATAGTAATTCACCCCGGGCGTCGAGATTTTCAAGACCTTCAGCGCCGGAAGGATATCGGGGAAGTCACTCATACACCCAAGGGTGATGACGTCAGGGCTGTACAACGAGAGGCTGGTAAGCGATGTGAGCTTGTTGAGGAAGAGGAACGACACGTGTTCTTGTCCTGCACTCAGAAGTTTGTTCCGAGGTAATTGGAAGGTGATACAGTCGAGACGAAGGTGTTTCAACTGATCGAGGGGCAAACACCCAGCCAAAACCTCAAATGCAGCAATTGCCGCTTGCACCATATCCTCAGGAGGGCGTCCAAACCACGTCGATTTGCGATCCAGGTTGTTCACTTCGAGCGAGGTAAGCGCTGGTAAGAGAAGTTGGGGGAAGAGACACTGGAGCTCTTCTGCAAGGGAAAAGCCAATTTTGAGGGTGTGGACGCGCGACATGGTGAGTGGACTGTCGAAGGCATGATTTTGGAATACTGTCCCGGACAGTTCCAAGACTTGAAGCGTATCCTGGCTGAACTCGAGGATTTGTCTGAGCTGATTAGGGTGAGGACGGTATTGTAGCGGGAGACGATGAATATGTAACTCGATGAGGTTGGAGGGACAGAACATGTCCCATGACATGGGAGTGCTCATCAGATTGAGATACCTGAGATTAGGATACAGTGAGATTCCACGTGAAACAACCTCGGGTTTTTGGGTTGTGCCTGCCGTGAGAGCGGCCGACGCGAAACAGCAATCTAGGTTCTTAGACTCCGGAAAATCCTCATGAAAGATGGCACGTGGATCTGTGATATACTGGGCTTCCCATCGAATCAAGATGGGCATCTGAACTAGAGTCAGACCTTCCGTCAAGAGGCCATAAAACTCCCAAGAGTCGAAAGAGAAACACATGGTCCTGATACGGTATGAAAAACGCCTGAAGATGTGTGACAAGACACCAGCATGGGTTCTGGTGAAAGGAATATTGGGTCTAGGCATTCCACGAACTGAAACATATATGTTCACAGGAAGAGGAGAGGAATAATGAAGATAAGCCATGGGCACAGGGAATGCGGAGAAGGCCCCCATCTCGATAAAGCCATCGGGATACGCAGAATAGTTGTTGATGACTATGGTGGTCCATAACAAAGGGTGCGATGTGACAATCCTTCGCCAGGACTTGCAGATACGCATGAGGCGCCAAGGCGCGGTAGAGTCGGGCGGGCTGAAAGTGGTAAATTCGAAGATTGACAGTAGAAGTTCCACAGGAAGTCGATTGATCGGTCCCACGACCTGCGATGCTTGCTCTTCCCCCGGTGGTGAGCCGTTTGAGACTTTGATATCTGTGTTCATGTTGCCGGACATAGCTGTATATGTTGTTAGTTGCGAGCCACTAATAGCAGAAAGATAGCTTACCTTGGAGTGTGAAAGTGAAAAGGTAAAAGAGTGGCGATGATGGGCGAGAGAAGGGTAATGTGTATATGAACGTCTCCAGGACGAGGGCTAAAAGTTGGTGAGGTGAGTGGTCAAGAAAAAAGCGACCTCGTATAAATACACCTACAATGGACCGAGTGGCGAGGCATCACAAGACACGACTTTTTGGGTATAACAGCCCGCTGTAGATAATTTCAGGGATGCTGTGCGCGGGGGCCACTGATAACCAGAGCTGGAACAGTAGTCTTCTGCAGACATCGTCGGATCTCTGGAAAAGAAAGAGGACACTAGGCGTCAGGGAATGAACGTTTGAACTTGGAAGAGAGATAAAATTTAATGCTACTCACAGCGACGTATCAGCTATCCCATCCAACCCCCCTGACGCGCTTTAATAAACTATCTAGGAAGTGCGCAAATCCCTTGTTGTATATCGATATAATTTGTTGCCAAGCGCAGGACTAGCAACGTTAAGGCACGCAACAGCGACCCCTCGTGAATGTATATCCGCCCTTGTTCTCTGAGCTAGGTGCATATTGCTATCAAATTAAAAAATATGTCTTTTAGAAGAAAAGAAAATCGCGCACCTTGCCAAGGCTTTTGAGGTCCCACCCTGCTGCAAGGCCCGTTTCCAACCCTAGAATGGTGCTTGGAATGCCAAAGAAACACTATGTACTTCTATTTTAAACAGAATAAAGGCCATGTCACGAAGGTAGACGAACAGTGTGACTACTACCGCTTAGGATGATGGATGTGGGAGGGAAGGAAATATTTATTTGGATCGCACGCCGCTGACAAGCAATCCTCAGTAGTAGGACTATTCCGCCGCCCGACCCGACGACGTCATGATGTTGCTAACTCTAGGCAGTCCCATTGTTCGGACTATTACTTGCCGTCCAATTAATTTAACCTGTATCAGGTGCATTGTTGAAAAAGATGGCTATCGGTCACTTTCACATTCCTCAGAACACAAGCCAGCTATTCAGCTGTTCCTGTTCGCTATTTTCCAATTACCATTACACAAAGCACAAGGCTTTCTCTTTCGGGAGAAGTCCACCTTCGTCCTTTGTACCACCTATTCCTCGCTTTGAGAACAAGTGACCAACCCTCGCAGGATAGTCGTCTGTTCAAAATATTATATTTAGCCTGCAGGTATAAATTTACCGTAGTCAAGACCCCATTGATTTATTCGATATCGCTCAAGTTTATTGGCGCATTCAACTATTCGCTGTCATGAATTTCGTCTCCATCAGCAACCTCTCTCCCATAAATAATTCCAGTTCCGCCCCGATGAACTCTATCTTCCCGTCCTACACCTGCCCACGTCCTAGGGAAATAGCCGAGAACCATGATGGTTTTGCTAATGACGGCATACGTGTATATCAATCGGAGCTGTTCGAGAGGGTTCGTACCGGACTTGACATCCCAATCTGCAAAGCAAAGTTTGTCATATCGGCAGGAAGTGCTATTGGCAGTCGGCGATCGATGCAATGATCAATCACTGAGTGAAGCCCGCACGCAGCACACGCTACCATGAATCAATATCTCTGCTCCACTCATTAGGGTTCCATATTCCTCGGGCGGAGCCAGAAAGCTTTGACGTTGGGACCACTTTCGATATTGTCGTGCCATCGCCTCCGCGAACAATACCCCACGACGCGAAAGGAAGTCCTCCGCCGCCTCCCACAGTCACTGTCTCCAAAGAAGGGCTATATGCAGCAAAAACCGACACCAGGGGGTGCTGGCTATCATTATCATCCAGATCACCATCCTTGCTCTCCCAGAGCTCGTACGGTGCGCCACAGGGACCGCACTTGTCGTTCCCTTCAATAACCAGCATTGTCCAGCTCGTAACGCCACGGTTCATACGGTAATTCCAGTCGAAATAACGCAGCTTTGAGAAGGAAGAAAAGTATGGCGCATATTCGAACGGCGGAAGGGGCCAGGAACATGTGAATCGAGTCTTTCGTTGGCGCTGGCTTTCTCGCCGAGAGAGAGATAGTGCGGTAAGACCAGGGAGACAACTGGATATACGCCTGATGATAGCGGGTCTTCCTTCCAGCAAGCCATCGATGATAAGAATTTCCATGGGATGGGCCTGCAATTCGTTGAGGAGAACGAAGAGGCTGGCATCATCGATGGGATTTATGAATATAAGCTTTAGGTGTGTAAGATGATGTTCTGTTGTATCGTGTAGGAAATGAACAATATCGGGAAAGATTGTCTCGACTAAATTCCCCAAGCACAGGTGCGTCAGATGACTAAACCGGTCCAAGGTGATAGCGTCGGCCAGCTGCATCGTAAATATCGATGAATGAAAGAACAAAACATTGATAGCATTCGGAAAGAGAGCGAGAGTTTCCCACGTGGAGATGGACTCTTCGTCTCGGATATGTACAGCCAAATTTCTGACTTGAACCAGCTGCGGGGAAGTTATAGTGCTTTCGATAGGACAACTAGTTAGATTGAAGGTGCGGAGGTGTGGCAATGCGGCGATAGCTTGGAAGATGTGACTGTGGAGGGGAAACGTAAACATGGAAAGGTTGGTCAAATTCATGGAATGGCCCAGGACTGCACAGATGGTATGGGAAATGGCAGGGAGGAAAAGGCTGGGTGGAAAATCATCGTGGTGAAAAGTTATAGTGATGTCCCAATGATTGAACACATTTATGCTCTGGAATTTGGAGGTAATATCGGGGCGGGTGAGGAGGAAATAAGCATCTTCGAGGGCCCGAACGGAGGCCTTAAGCAGATCCTTGATTGCATGTTCCTTCTGTATGGCGTTCCGGGACAAAATCGCCGTGGTATTTTGGTACAGACCCAGATTGCGAGACTGGAGAAGCTGAAAGTCAGGAAAAGAAAATATCGGGTAGAGATGCTTACTGTGTAGATAAATGGTAAAGATACAGCACGCATACGACGGCAGGTCGCAGACAAAAGGAGTGAGTCTGTTATATCCATGTGCTTGTAAATTGCGTCGAGCAGCTCATCAGGAAGGTGGTCTATCAAAAGTTTCTGAAATTTCGGCTCCGCATCGTGCGCAATCTTCGGACCAGATCCTAAAGTACAGTATCAGATATGCCGAAGAAATAGTTCAAACGTTCACGGACCGGCCATTCTCATGATATCTGCATAGTCTGCCTCACTTGGGAGAAGCCATTTCTGTTGAAACTGCTTCCATAACTCCTCGTCGGTCATTTTGTAATTTGTGTATTCGTGCTTTTGTTCCAGGAAATCGATCCACTCGTCTTGATATGGCTCGGCGGTAGCAGCAAGAGCGTCAAGATCCACTCTCAGCTTCTCCCAGCGCGCGTAAAGAAAGTCGAAGCGCTATCATATACATCGGCTTTTCATCGAGTAAGAGAAATGGCAGCATGCTTACGGCGCGAAAGCGTCCGGTTAGATCTGAACGACCCTGTATCACCCTTTCAGCATTCTTGTCTATCTAGCGGTAGCAGGGTGGACGCACCGTATAAAATCCTTTCAACGAATTAAAGAAGGCTCTGAGACGAACAAGTCGAAAAATTTCGTCGTCCACAATGCTCGTCACGCCACCGCCCTCGCTAATTTCTTTATATTCTTTGTATTCCCATCGGTTATATTGGGTCCACATTTGATCAAAGTGGGTAAGAGGAGGCCAAGAATTGCCATGCGAGATCCTTTTCGTTTTTCGTAATGATGGTTCGTCTTCCGAAAGATAAATGGGGTCGATATCCATGACTGTTGCGGACAAAGGTTAAGGTTAAGTAGCACGAATCAGATACATTGCCCCTTTTATCCAGTAATTTTAAATAACTTAAAGAGGGCCAGAGAACGACGTATTAGGTATCTTATCGAATACCCCTCCTGACGCGCTTGACGAATCATAAAAATCCCTTCTTTTACTATATCGACACAATTTGCTAAGTGCAACATTAGCAACGTTAAAAAAAGAGGCATAGCCTGAGCACGCGAAAGTAACCCTTCATGAATTCATATCCACCCTTGTTCTCTAAGCTAGGGTGTTGTGATGATTTCCTGGCAGGAAGAATGTAAAATCATGCAATTTTGATAGTAGAAGAAGACCTGCACCCTTGCCTTGTCTACCATCCGACTTAATGCACTGAATGTGAGGTCTTTGGAGTCCATCCATCCCATCAAAGGAGGACAGCTCAGCATCCAGCAATCACTATTTGTGCAGAATCTAGAGAACCATAAGTCTTAGCTTGAGAAAGATGGGGATGCCTTGTTGCAGGCAGGTTATTTTCACACAGTGGATAATAGGCCAGGCTGAGTATGATGGTCAATTGCTTAAAAGCTGAGGTACATATGACTACTACTCACCTGAGTATGACAGTCAATTGCTTAAAGGCAATTGACTGTCGACTCAGAACAAAACTGTCTATACTTATATAAGGTTGACATCAGGTACTTGTGTCATCCTGCAACACTCCTTCTTGACACAATACTTCTCAGAGTTCAAGACCCAACAGCCTGATCATGTGAGTCATCTTCTCCTTCCCTAAGGCTTTTGTGAAGATGTCAGCAGGCATGTCTTCTGTGCAAAGATGTTCAATATGTATGTGCCTCTGCTCAACCTCATCTTGTAACCAGTAGAAGTGAAGGTCAAGATGTTTGACATGACTGTGATGATCAGGATTGCAAGCAACAGAGAGAGCAGACTGGTTGTCAATCAGCAGTGGAGATGGTGACAGATAATGGAAGCCAAATTCTGTGAACAGATTTTGCAGCCACAGAATTTCCTGTCCAGCAGAGATGGCAGCCACATATTTGGCCTCTGTGGTCAATAAGGTTACTATAGATTGTAGCTGGCTCATCCAGCTGACTGCACCTGTGCCCATCTTGACAACATATCCTGAGGTTGAGCACCCATTGTCTGGGTTTCCACTATGATCTGCATCTGTGTACATTTTGAACAGCACTGGGTTTGTAGCATCAGGTGAATATGTCAATTTTAGGTTGATTGTTCCCTTTATGTATCTGAGGAGGTGCTTCAGGGCCTCCCAATGCCTCAATCCAGGGTTTTTGCTGAAACATGATAGGATGCTGACTGCAAAAGCTATGTCAGGACAAGTGGTGATGGCCAGGTATGCTACAGAGCCAAGGATCTGGAGATATGGGATGTGCCACATGGTTTCCCATTCCTCTAGAGTAGCAGGGGACATTGAGCTGGATAGCTTAGTGTGTGGATCAAGAGGAGTACTGACACTGTTACAGTCAGACATTCCAGTGCATTCTAGGATTTTTTGGATGTACTGTGATTGAAAGAGTGTGAGCATTCAGTTTAGATGATCCCTGTGTATTTTGACACTGAGGAGGAATGAAGTTGGACCTAGATCATGAAGTTTGAAGTGCTTCTTGAGATCATTGACAACATGTCATACAGACTCCATGGACTTTGCAGCAATTGTTATATTGTTGACAAACACCAGAACAATAATCCAAGCATCATCTCTCTTGTACACCCATATGCTGTGTTCACAGTGTACTCTGTCAAAGCCTATCTCAGTCATAGTGCTATGGAGTTTTTTGTGCCATTCATGCCCAGCCTGCTTCAGTCTATAGATGGACTTAAAGAGATGAAACATCCAGCTCCTGTCCTTTGTCTTGAATCCCTCTGGTTGTTGAAGGTATACCTCCTCTTTCAGATCACCATTCAGAAATGCTGATGAGATGTCCATGCTCCAGAGCTCCAGGTCCTCAAGTGCAGCAAGAGTGAGGACTGTTTGGATGGCTGCCCATTTTGGAGTAGGAGAAAAGGTTTCAGTGTAGTCAAAATCTGGCCACTGTGAGTACTCTTTTGCAACATAGTGTGCCTTGTAGCATTCAATGGATCCATCAGGGTTACACTTCACTTTGAAGACCCATTTTTCACCTATAGCCTTTCACCCTGGAGAGAGCTTCACAAGCTCAAAGATGCCACTTTCCTGCAGTGCATTCAATTCCTGCTGAGCTACCTCATATCATTTTTCACTTTCCTCTCCTGGCTAAGTCATCATCTCTGCAAGTGTCTTTGGTTCATCATTGGATACAGATGCTTGGTTTGCCATCTCTACTGCTGTCTGAAATGTAAGCTCAAGAGCTTCTGTATATGTGATATAGCTATCATCATGCAATACAAAAGTCATTCCTGCAACAACATCTGTCTCAGTAAGCTCTGGCTCAGCAGTGGTTTCATCAATGGGATCAGAAATGGGTTCATCTGAGTCTGGTGAGTTCATCACATTGGTGCCAGAATGTTTACAGTGAAAACCATGTCCAGTGTTTGGAGATGGAATTATAAGACCTTTGGAGTTGTATTGTGGCTTGAAGTGTGCCTGAGAACATGAAAGTTGTGAAGAGGGTGTAGGAGATGTCAAAAGACTTGATAGTGGAGTAAGAGGTGATCCTAGAGGTGTTTGCATATTTGATAGAGTGGATAGAGCTGGCTTAGATGGCAAGAATGATGATGATGAGAGTTGCTCAGATGACAGAGATGGCTTATCAGTAGGTATGTTCTCTCTCCCTTGATGAGGCATCATTCCATCAGGTATAGCAGTATCTGTGCTGTTATGTCTGTTTGTGGAAGATGTATCATCACCAAGAGGATTTATAATATTTTTGTGATTTCCAGGAAATACATGCTCATCAAATACAGCATGGCTAGAGGTGATGAACCACTGTGTAGAAGGGTTCCAGAATAGCCAGCCTTTTACTCTCTCTGGATACCCAACAAAGATACATTTTTGGGTGTGTGACTCTAATGCTCAATGTTCTTTTTTTCATACTAGCACATATGCAAGGCATCCAAACATATTATGATTTTTCCTCTCTCCTATCATTTTTACCCCTATTTAAGCTTAGACAGGTCATATGGCTTAGTCATCACAAGACCACCTGCTATTCTTCCAATCGCTTGACAACATACAATTTGCCTTTTATATATAGTAATGATACTCAAGGACAAAGAGCACAACAGACAGAGAAATGCACAATTAGTATAGGACTATTATTAGCAGGATATATACAGTATTTAAAGAGCTCACTCTCACTGGCGACAACCCAGCTTTGAGCTAAAGTTTATTCATACTATTCTATCCTTGAGCCATCTAAAAGCCTTGTGACACACCACTGTAATCACACTCATAGACTCAGATGATCACCTGAAGTGCAAGATAATGCCTATTTATCACATGGTTACTCACACGTGATGCTTGGGCCTAACAATTAGCTCGAAGCTTTTGACTTCCCTTTCTCAAGCCTAATTGTGCTGAGAAACTAAATGCCCCCTGCAACCTCTACTGACCCAAATTTTGATCATGAGTTCTTCAAACTCCTCTCTTCCATCATCAGGACCTTGATAGGATTATTGGTGATCATCCAGCTGTGCCGGAGATGCCACTCAATTACTGTCTGGGCCCTTAGACATTATAATGAATTCTTACACATCCATGAAATACTACGAAATGTAACCTCTGACCTTCTTCTACATGACATCCCCAAATCCCAATGAATGACCTATCAGCCCCCAGAAGCTAGATCTAGTGGCATGCATCAGGGGAATGGTGAAGAAGAAATGGGAGGACAATGTTCTCCCCGATCCAGAAACACAGACACTGGCATCCCAAGAAGGTATGGTATACTCATACCAGGACCAGCCCCCAACCATGAGGATGAGGACATCCTGAAAGACTGCTTCCATCAGTCCCCCTCTCCTTCTTCCACCCTCTGAACCCCTGGGATTGCTGACTACACCAGAGACTCTCTTGATGCCCCTTGGATGGCTCAGCGATCCAGCCTCAGATCTCCTCATAGCCAGTCTCACAGCCTCCACTCTCTCTCCAGGACCAGCTCGAGGGTGGGGGGGATCTCCTCAAATGATGAAGAGCAACAATGACGAGTATAGGAAGAAACCATTCACTGGTACTTCCTGACCTGGAACTTCACCATCCCTTTCAACTATGATGATGCTGTTCAATAGGAGAAGTGCAGGAGGCAGGATGAGCCACAGCCAGTACATCATGAGTCAGAAGACCAGCAGAGGCAGGAAGCCACACAGTATGATGAGCAGCATCGAGATAAGCAGCAAGAAGTGGAAAGTGCCTGACTGGCAAGGGCTGATGTTGGCAGCTGATATGGACTATGACCTGAGGTCACTAGTGTCCTTGCACCCATACAAGCCAACCTCTCACTCTCAACCCCCATATTCAGAGAGCCCAGCACCCTGAGTAGTGGAATCCTGGAACACTGGACAGATGGCACCCAAACTAGATGATACCTGAGGCTCCCAACCCCTGAGTATCCTCCCTTCTCATAAACCCCTAGTGCAGACTCCATCTTTGGAAGTGATGAGTCCATCCTCAGACACTACAGATTATGGATCCCTGGCAATGCTCATATCCCCATCTGTGCTCTCTGAGGTTTTCTCAGAAGTAGGGTTGTCAGGCAGCTCATTGATAATGACTACTAGCACAATGTCCACCTCTATCACGAGTGAGTGGAGGTGACAAGAGCAACTGGAGAGAACAGGTATCACCTCAGTATCAGAAGTCAACCAGCCACTGCTTATAAAGACCCCCCAGTCACTGGTCCGAGTATCCAGCCAAGAGAGTGAAGCAATGATACACCAAGAAGTCATAGAGAGTATTTACAGCTGGCCCATCAGTTCTCTCCTTGAAGAGGACAATGAGGATGAGGAAGAAGAAATAGAGGACAGTGAACTGCTCCAAGGGCCGCCATATGATTCACAGGAAGA